CTTTACACATTATTTCTCAAAAATGGGCTTTTGTCGGAAAGTCATAACTTCTATAATTCTTCAACAAATTTAATGGCTCAAACTTAACTTTAAAGCTTTCGTTTCCATAAACAAAAACTTTCATTGAAAAACTCGTTTTTTCGTAATAATACAGGGAGGCTTTTCTAAGTATATCCTTTTTTTTTTAATTAAATTCTAGACATAAATAATGATATATAAAAAATGATAAATATTTAAAAACAAATCGTAATTAATTATTTACATTCATTTTAACTTAACTCAAACAGTGCATCATTTATGGGCAACTCATTTATTTTACGCGCGATCATTCATAACTAACACGCACACAAGTTCGTTCCAAAGTATAGGGCGCATTTATGAATGACTACCGCAAAGTCAACAAGTTCTGTTTTTTAGAGAATAGAATGGCAATTTTTTTAAAAAAAAGAAAGTTCATTTTTATTTCAAAAAACGATTATACTACCGAGTCTGAACCTCCTGTGTGAATTTGGGCACCTTTAGAAAAGCCACCCTGTATAGGCTTTCATAATAATTATACTTGTTTGCACATTGTGGCTGATAACGGACGGTACTGTGCGAAAATTTCGTACGGCTCAACTAGTTATTATATTAATTTAATTCACCCCATATTTTTAGAAAAATGCACTTTACTGATCTTATACACAAATATTGTTTCAAACACGGATCTCATCGTGGCACCAAAACACGGTTTTCACTCAATTATGATCGATATCGTCTTGTATTTTTTTATGTGAGAAAGTGGCAAACGAGCTGGCGGTTCACCTGATGTTAAGTGATAACCGCCTATCCATCGACATTTGCAACACCCATAGGGTAGTAGATGCGTTGCCACCTCTTAGTAAACGTAGTAGTGGGCCCCGGCTACCTCACTCACCAGACGAAACGCAGAAGTATAACACTACCACTTCCACTTTATGCCGGTCTTCTGTGTGGTTGTAGTAGTAGCCCGAACGGACCTGCCCATTCGTGCAACAGCGAACACTGTTGCGTGGCTGTACCAATCAGTATCAATCAGTATCAGTATTATGAAGCTCTAAAAAGTGAAAAATGAAGCTCTACCTAAAGTCTGAGTAAAACATTTCGCTGATCTAGATTACGGACCACGTTCTGAATTTTGTCCCTAAGGAACATCTATATAGCGTGTCCTAGTTTTGAATTTATTTAACATTTTTGCTTGTCTTTTAGTGCTCGTTTTTATGTTAGCACAGAGAGCAGTTGGTTGTGCAGCCCGTGTGGTACGGTTAGTAAAAACTCGGGGTAATGAGCTAATAAACTAAACGGTGCCTTGCAATACAAAAGCGTAACGCGATTGTGTTGTACAGGAAATAAAAAAGGCTGTTTGAAAAATGGGTCCTAAATCCGTTTGTTCTTTCTGTTTAGATTATGCTCTCCATTTCACAATAGGAATCTAAAATCAATTTTTTGAATATTTTTATGGCCACACAAATACAGCGAGTCCCATTATCTACTTTCCAAGCTCATTAAGAATTTTTAGGTCCTTGAGAGGAACGATAACGAGATAATTTTAAAACTGTGATTACGAACCACTAACTAAGACAGCAAATCGTCATCGCAGCCATCACCACTAAACATAAAAAGTTTTTTAACAAAAAGAACCGATTTCAAATAAAATGATGTACGTAACTATTACAACGTTACATGCAAAAATGCAATGCATATTTATGCGAACGCGGTTGATTTCCTGCTATTTTTCGAAGAGTTCCGTTGTTATCTCTGAAAATCCTCATCAGATCTATATGAAATTTATACGGGACCATTTCGGAATGAAACTCTTTCGAACAAAAAAGAATTTTGCAAATCCGTCTATATATGACGAAGTTATGCCCGAACATACATAAAAAAATATAAACATCCGAATTGATAATCTCCTTCTTTTTAAGCCAATTTAAAATACGCGTAAAAATGAAGTACATAAAAATTTTCGCATATTTGACCACCTACCAAGATTTTAACATAGCATAATTAGGTCGACACCATATATGAACATTATGAACTATTAATCTGCGACAAATATGTCTTTTCCGAATTCTATCGAAGAACAATCATTGATATAAAATTAAGGCGCTAATAAAGATAGAAAAATGGTACAGATAGTTACGTCAGATACGACCGAGCAAGTTAATTACAGAGAAAACACAGAATCTCCACATAATGGTCTTGCAAGTTAATCAACAATGCCGACGATTTCGAGAGTAGGATGTACGATTGCAAATGATTCAAATACTCGACTCGGAAAAAAGTAATGCATACGCGCAATAAATAACATGCTTTCAACGGTCACATCTCATCGGATAATTATTATTGAACATTACAAAATAATTTAAAATATCACATTAATTTAAAATATGATAAAAATTATAAAAAATAAACGTAAATTAATGGTTACAATTAATTCAAATTGCTTTATATGTTTTTTTTTATATTGATTTAACAGAATATATGTAAAAATTTTACATATAGGTACTTATTGATAAAAAATCCCGTCTTCGTAAATAAAGTACAGAATAGAATATAGTTTTGCAAATATTATTAGCCTATTTGAAATAAATAGTTCTATAATTTATATTGCCATATTATTACATATTCTATCATAGCATAACTTACATTCATATTTTATCCATTTTATAATAAATTACACTACACTTCATATAATGTCAACAGCGTAGTTCATTTAAGGGGCAATTAAATAAATAATTCTTGCTACATATGTCTGCCAAAAGCACCAATTCAACCAACCATTTAGCCAATTGACGTGTCTGAGTGCTACTCAACTATTAAATTCACTCATTTGTAGAGTCAACTTTTTAAACATAAATAAAGGGCTCTTTAGTAACCGTTAATTTGGTAACGTAAATATATGTGCTATCATTAGAAGCGCGATGTTGGGAATCATGCAGGGTTGGATACAGTCACAGGCTATGCCTAGTCGCCTATTATGAGGTTCAAGAATTTTACTATGGTAAAATTAATCGTGGACCTCATACTTAGCGACAATAGGTTATCACGATCTAGATTGATCATGATCAAAAGTATATTGTAATCATCATGTATATGACGGCACTGTCACTTTATAAAATATAAGCTGCGGTGTCATCTTTATGTTATGTACTCGCAAATAAATATTAATCGCAAATAAATATAATTAGAACGCCCATATTTTGCAGTCTATGTTATTCAAAATAGAAAGAGAACGCTGTATGTAGAGTTAGCTAAATATTTCCCGTTCGACAGCTTTAATAGCTTTTTAAGATTTTTTAAACAATGGCCAGTTCAGTGAATATCAACCCGCTCGATGGCAAGTGGCAGTGCAATTGGTCTTAAACGAACTAACAAGAAAGTTTTATATTGAAGCGTGTTTTATATTGTGTGCATTAAGGCCCATTTACACGGTGCCAGTTTCTTGCCTGTTGTATACAATTAAATTGAAGCAATAAATGAGTTGCATGGTCTAAACAAGAAATGGTCTAAACAATTATTGCGCGCAATTTATTGCATTCAATTATTGCTCTTGTATGTTCAAGAAAATGGCATCGTGTAAATGGGCCTTTAGGGTTAATGAAATAGCTAATAACGACAATTCCTAAAATCACAAAAAAAACGTATCTGGACTCACGACTTTCGCAGTCTTAAGTAAGTAGAACTCTGTGCCTGAAGAGTGCCAGTAACGTGGCCCTCAGCGAGGTAAAGCGCAATGTGTATTTTCCAGTCAAAGCAGTGCCTGCATTTAAAGTAGGTTTTATACGCGTGCTATTACGAGTACTGCGGTGCTTGACCTAAAACCCATTCCTTACAATTTTCCTACTGAATTTGTACGTTCGTTAATAAGATCGCAGATCTTATTAACGAGCGTACAAATATAATAATAGTTTTTCTCGAATAATAATGGCAGCCAATATAATTTTATTTTCCAATTTCTCTTATTATTTTTACATTATTTTCACGTTATTTATGAGCCATTTACTACTTTAAAAATTTGCGCCTAACATATTTTAAGTATTGTCATAAAGAGGTATATGGGGAAACTCGTTTTTTTTTTTTTAGAATAAAAATAAAGTAGAAAACTGGGTGACCATGTATTGTACAAAAGTAAAATTTTACTCATATATGATGTCTGAATGAGGTCGACGATCGGTTGACAGTGCTATACATAATGAATAATATCGTACTAGTCTTTATGGAACTCCATCAATTTATCTTGATGACATTCACGACTTATAATGGTTCGGGGTATTCTGTTGGTTATATACGAGCTAACAAAGACGCTACCCAGGGCACAACTTTAAAAGCCAAAATTTTAATAAAAGTGTCAAACTACGATTAGTGACTAGATTTTACCATATTACTAAGGTTCATGGACATGCACACAGCTCGCAAAATACCGTCGTCATAGACATGGAGTCATGATCTAAATGATACCGGATTAGTGATGTGCACGTACTTTACAAGCATGCACAGGCCATGATATTGTAGCCTATAAGTAGAGTCCATATGTAGCATAAGCTAGATCTCGTGTGTGATCCCATTTTTACGAAAGGGATGAGCTCTCGTAAAAATCGGCCGCTCATTACAAAGGGTCATAATCAACCATGTAACCAGATTTCGTGATATGTGCATTATTCATGTATATCTTATACACGTGTAGTAAGTACATGGAACCGTAATAAAACCTGATATCAAACTAAATAACTTTCGTGCACGTGCGGTATTCTATCGTGGGTGTAAACCTAGCAAGCATGTACACAGCACACGATGTATCACATGATTCAGTAAGTTCTGCGTGGACAAAGCCAATGTTGGGCCCACACCTCGCAAGCATGTACAGCACAGGATGTAGCCCATCCTGAATTCTTAAAGCTAGATTCGGTGAGTTTCACGTGCACAATACTAATGTTGGGCACACACCTCGCAAGCATGCACAGCCCATGATGTAGCCCATCATGGAGAGACGCGGCGGGGGCGGGGACGGGCGGCGCGAGGGCGCGGGCGGTGCTGGCGGCACGGCCGGCGGCTGGCGCCTGCCGCGCGCCGCCGCACGCGACACCGCGCCGCTTTACCAACCGCGCGCGGTCGCCACCACACCGCCGTTCAGACCATCACCGCAACCAACGAGTAAAGTCCCGGCCGCGCGCGAATCGCAGCGGATGCCGTGCCACACGCGCGGACCGCGGCACGCGATGGCGATCATAACAAACGCGACCATCCGGGGACAGCTTTAAGGCACTGTGTGTGCATTGCACATGAGTGGACGAATTCAGAGCGCTCTGGCCGATTTTAGGCCAGGTGCGCCGAAAGGAGGGCTATGTCGACGGTCCTTATCGCGTGCCCTACTTGTAATGCAAATATTAATTGCGGTGAAACAGCACGAGCGCCGTGGGACGTTTGGGCCGTTGCAGCAGGCGCGATCGCGTGTTAGTCGCCAGGTCGATCGATACGGCACGTTAACTTTGCGCCTCGCAACGAATCGGACCGAGTGGTGACACATCGATGGTATTGCTCAACAATAAAACAGCCATCAAATTTTACTTAAGTTACTGAGAAATTTGTACGACTCGATGTAAATTTCAATTGCGCTACTTTTTATAGGTCAACAAGCATCGGATCCCTGAAGATGTAACTAATTCGTAACAAATATAATTAGCGGCAAAATGGTGCAGTGGCAGTGATCCCGACTCCCGGTGTTAATTTGTGCCGAGACGTCAGGGGAAGGAGAAATTTGTTGCGCTTATTGCGGACGAGAATACGACGCGAGGGAGCTATGCCCGACGGCCGTGGTATGGGCTAGAGAGTGGCGGGCGACGGTGGACAGTGGGCACGGGGATGCATGCGGCGCCGAGTGCGGTCGACGGCTCGGCGGCGCGGCGGGCGCGGGCGCGGGCGGGCCAGCACTGAGGCGCGCGCCGCACGCCGCCTGAACGCCCCCACCCCCCAACCCCGCGCCCCCGTCCGACGACTCCCCCCGCCCCGCTCCCCGCGTTACGCCGAACTTCCACAGCCCCTGCCACCCCTCCAACTTTAAACCGCCATTGCCCGCAAGCCTCACCAATTCACGGCGCACGGCTTTTATTGTAATAACTATCGAAATATTGCCCAGACGATTACGAGATCTACCAAAATATGTATATCGCAAGCAATTCTGATATGAACAGATATCATTGAAAGTCATGTGGGAGAAAACAACAACAAGAGAGACGGTGTATCCGACGGTGTAACCCAAATAAAAAACGTGTCCAATTATTGGTGTCTACCGCTTCAATTTAACTATAAAGTATGAATAGGAATATTATTATTATTCAATATAAAATTATAACCGACTTTCGATTCGACGGGAGTAACAAAGGAAGATTGTCAATAAGCGCGAATTTCGTGTCCCGTGAAAGTTCGTAGGAATCTGCGATGATAATAGCTGTTGTACTTGACAGCTTAATTTATAACGATCACAAGACGTGAACCGCTCTGTGTGATTTGACGAATGCGTGACGTCAATTGGGCAGCGGCGGGCGCTCGGCGCGGGTCAACGCTCGCCGCTCGTCCTGCCAGGAAGCCGCTAATTCCCGCCACGCGTCGCTTTTCTTCGCTCTTGAATACGCATCACGCGTTCCTTTTTTAATCCGTGAGAGATACACGTAGCAACAGTTTGAAATTTAATATTCATAATGTTTGATTACAGGTGGATTCGATTTTAAGATAAAAATTCAGGCCTTATTTATTTAAAAGTATTCAGTTTGCAAATAACTGCCGGTGGTACTACGGTTAAAGCTACGAGAGCGTTCAATATTATTAATTAGATTAAGGGGTTTATGTTTAATGATATAAAATAAATATTGTTATAAAAGTAGTTTCTGGAAGATCGAGGCTATAAAAAGCTTATAATATTTCAACGAAATTAATACAATTAGAAGTAGAAGTAATTTTTAATTGACGAACTACAAACGGCGTGACCATCCAGTCCCTTAGCGATTATAGATGATGAATGAAGCAAATATAACGCTTTAAACAACCATCTCCACACAAAGCAAAAAATCTATATCATACTAAAGTTTTCAAGTTAAGAAAAAAAAGGATGCACTTTTGCCCGCGCATTAACTATATTTTAATTTAACGTCTTAAGCTTACTTTAACCATAATCTGAAGCTACACGTCCTGTCATATTTTACTTAACAATTATTACTACTTTAAAAATTAATTCTCTAAATTTTATTTTCTTCTAACCAAAAACCTACCCACAAAACAACCTTCGTTACAAAACTTTTAAGAAAGAAGAACAAAATTTTTAAAATACTAAATGGAACGAAAAACAATTTTCTTTTATCCCTTGCGATGACCGATTAACCCGAAGCAAGTGTTAAATTCGAATAAACCGAGCTGAGCCGACCTTGTAATCAGGCACTCAATTCCATCCGCCATTGTAAATTTGACCGATAAATTTCGTTACATCGCAACATTGCCGATATAATAATATTTAGATAAAAACTACTGCGTTTTAAAAAGGAACGAAAAAGTATAAAATAATTTCAGGCAATGTAGGATAAACCCCATACAGATTCTAAACCTCTTACAGATTGATATTAAAGTCTGTGTGTTTTTAATAGCTCATACAATTTTACCAAATGGGGGATTTAAAAAAAATATGTGGGTTGTAGAAAATAAAGCAACTTAGGCGTCATTTTTTTTTTACACGTTGCCCTTACAGGATTACATTATCCTTTTGACGTTTTACAAACATAAACTTCACGTGGACAAACACCCAGATGCGAAATAAGTATCTGTGGGTCACACAAATAGCTGTCCCGTGCGGGAATCGAACCCACGACCCCCAGAGTCATCAAAATCATTCACCACAGAGTCATTTTGTGCCAATTGCGGTACAATGAATTGTTATTTTAACTATTAATACTTTGATTATCTGCTATATGCATCCCGTATTTCATTAAATAATCTTCAAGTATAATTATATATTTAACGGTGGTAGGGCCACGCAGCAGCCTCGGCTGTTGCACGAATGGGCAGGCCCGTCCGGGTAAGTATCACGACCTCACAGAAGACCAGCATAAAGTGGAAGTATGACAAATACTTTCGGGTTTCGTCTGGTGAGAGAGGTAGCCGGAGCCCAATTTCCAAAAGGTATAATAACGTAATATATATATAGTATATATAAAGGTATGGTAACGCATCTGTAAACCTCGGGTGTGGCAGTTGTCCATGGGCGGCGGTATTCACTTAACATCAGGTGAGCCGTCTGCTCGTTTGACAACTTTTTGCATTAAAAAGTATTATTAATTTTAACACTTTTAAAATGAAAATTTTAATATTATCCTGTAGCTCATTGGTACGTTAGTTTAAAATATATTACAATGATCCCAATAAAGATACACCAATAATAGAGGACATAAAAGATTTCTTTCTCCGTTACCATAGAATTTAAAATGTGGTTTATTTATTTCTAATAATACATAATATAAACAATAGCTAACCCGGATCAGCTATGCTATCGATCAGTATAAAAGTTATAGCGATCAAAATGTAATAGCAAATAAAAATAAAGCAGTTTACACATAACAGGCAGTACAATTGAATATGTATAGAACGAAGTTTAATGACCTAAGTTATTTAAGTCTGGTCCGTTATTCCAAGAACTAAGTTGTTACAGCCCTTTTCCTAGTGTTTCGTGAAATCGTACCGAGTACATACCTATTTGGTTTCATGTCTTAGATATATTATCTTTTAATTGTTAACATAACTGTGTTTTTTGTTGAAACTAAATAAATATTCATTCATTCATTCATTCATTGTTTGACGTCATAATCGAGCCCGGCACATTCATTATTCGTCTGGTTTTAGCGAATTGGAACACGTGACATATTAGAATGCGTCGAAAATGTTCCCAACAATGGTGTCTATCAATGTTTAATCATTCCTCGGTTTAAAATTATAGAAATCAAGGTCAAGTTGTTGACTGTTCCTAATAATTTAGAGATAAATTAACAGCATCCTTATTACGATTTTACACGATAAAAAGAACCGAACAGATCAATAAAGAACATATATCCATGGGGAACTATAGAAGGGATGATCAGAAATTAAACAAGATGAAACAGTGTCTCAAATGACAAGACTTTGTTGAAAAAAATGTTGAAATACAAGCAGCTTAAACAGTTTTATGGAGCCAACATTGTTCATTGAGAATTGTAAGCAGCCAAAAACTACGCATTTTGGTCGTGGTCAGAAAATAATCATAATGATTGTTAATTATTTAGAAATTTAAGTTTTCATTGACCTGGTCCAAGACATCCATCAGCAATTCCGTGTGTGCGAACCGATGCCGGTAACGAGACATTCATGGGTGTTTATTTTTGTTTACCTAGTTTGGATTATTTATATATACATTTGTACTTTCGATTCGACTAATTTTATACCATTTCCAAGGAAATTAATGAAAGAAATTTCAATGGATCCTCCAACATGAAGATCAATATGAATAAAAAGTAATATCAATACAACCAACGAGACTTATTACGACATGTGTACGTATAAATACACAACTGATAAGATAATATGTTAACAGATATAATTCTGTTTCAAAATAGGACCAGTAAATTACAGTGTCTAAAGATAATAAAATATGTCTGTAAGAACTACTAAGTACAATGTTTTCTTGATAATTTTGTCCACTTGTTGCAAAATGTTTTTTTTTTCGGCTCAATTACCGTGTATATTTTTTACATCCTACTACTCCATGGACGTTTTATCTAACTTCTTTGGAGAAAGGCAAAGACAAATTTCTTTTCCCGCTTTTTAGAATAGTTTCAGATCTTCCTGAAACATGTAGTTTATCCATAATAACTACGCGAAGAGCTCAAAAATATTACTAGTGCCCAAAGACCATGTTTCGCAAAAATATTTCGATTATAATCAATTCAAAACTTCCGCATAGATAATAATCACAAACGTTACGCGCTTAAACCGAAAATGGGTATCCTTCGAAAGCATAATTATTATTAAGGTTTAAAGTTTTATTCTAGCGTTAAATGGGAGAAGAACAATACAATAAATTCCACTTACCAATGACGTTGTTGTTCTGGTGGTGGTGGTGTGCGGCAGCGGCTGCCGCGACGGCAGCTGCCAGTGCCGCCTGCTGAGCCTGCTGCGCGAGTTGCGAGGCCAGTTGCGCCTGCAGCGCTGCGTGCACGCCCCCCATTCCCACGCCCCCGCCACCCATGCCACCCATGCCACCCATACTGCCCATACTGCCACCAGTCTCCCCACGCGCCTCCTCGCCGTACACAGGCGATGACTCCTCGTCTGTACAGAATTACCATCATTTTATGAATGCAAATTTATTACCTTGGAAAAAAACTAACACGGCGACAATTTTAATCGTCGATTATGTATAGACAGGTTAAATATGACTTAATTCTCTACAATTGTATAATGTAAATTCATAGTCAAAGTCATAGTCAAAGTCATAGTCAAAGTCAAAGTCAAAGTATATTTATTCAATATAGGCGTAACTTAAGCTCTTATTGAACGTCAACAAAAAATCTACCACCGGTTCACTAAACTAGACCTGCACAGAGAAGAACCGGCAAGAAACTCTGCGATCTAAAAATGTAAGGCAAAGTATATAATAAATAAAGTCTTAATAATAAATTAATGAATTGCACAAAATACAAATTTGTTTTTAAAGCATAACACTATGATATCTTAAGCTATAACAAAGAATGTCTGAAGTGTATTGCGAAGTTTATAGCCGCCGTCATCCACTCGATTCTTTCAATTTCAATTCAAGAACTCGTTTATAACTAAACGCGGGGAAAAGTTTTGAGAGACTTTTAACTATTTCCAATTTAAAAAATGGTAAAAAGATAAATATATACACAGAAATTGACTGTCTCCTTTATATAAATTTATTGGAATGAATGCATAGATGACGCAACGCTTTAAGTGGTTAACACGCCAAATGATATTGCGCAGTATTGTGGGTTTAGTTACCATAAGGTATATAGTTTTTTCGTTCCTAGTCTGAATGACCATAGTATTTCCCATAGGATTTCATGTTTCTTTTTCATGAAATTCTTTAATGCGTGAGTCGCTTTTTTATAGAAAAATAGAAAATATTGTATTGGAAAAAAATATCAATAGTTAAGAGCGTTACCGTAAAGTGGCCCGATATACCTACTTTAAATCATATAAGCGATATAATTATTTTATCTTCTCTATAATGAATAAAGAGACATTTTTACTCAAATGCTGTATGATTTAAAACTATATAAAATGTAATTATTTCTTAGAACATAAATTTAACAGTTTTTTTTAAATTTAAATATTCAAAACTTCAAGGCAAATGGTAGGTTTTTCGATTTTTATAGATGGTTACACTCGTCGTTCCACAAACTTAGCCTTAGGCACTACCCTATCTAGCACTCCACGAATAGCGCATGCGCACTTTAAGTATTGAAGAAAATAAAACGGTATGTCTCGGTATCTAAATTGGTTTGGTCAACGACCCACACAGCAACTGGCAAAAGATAAAAACAGTTCGCTACTGTCGCTCGTTGAGCTCAACACTAGTAACCTAGTGCACTTTTTATTTTTTGATTTTATAAAATTCAGTCACATTACGTCAATATATACAAGAAACGACCTTAGTTCAGTTTCAGTTACATTATTTCAAAATCTACAAGAAATATGAATCTTAAAAAAAAAAAAAGGGAAAATTCCTAGCTACTGCCTTGGCAGTTTAAGTTACAAGATTAATTTAAGCACGCGCTTCAAGACAGAATTTGTAGGTCTCCGATAGCCACAATAGGGCTAGGTAGGAAAATTCATTAAAGTATCTAAGGTTTACCGAAATATTTGGTTTAGGAGGTATATCAGAAGAATAATTAAAAAGGTCAAATATTCTCTTCACTAAAGAGCCGTGATAGCTCAGTGTCCGGGCGCTAGCTTTGAATCCAATTAACGAGCAACCTGAGTTGAAATGCCGGTGCCAGCACAATGAAATAGTAAATTTTAAGTGCTGAATTATCACCTGCTCGGTGGTGAAGGAAAACATCGTGAGGAAACCTTCATGTTTTCGCAATAATAATGAAAAAAAAAATACTTCAATGATATTTGAAGTCTGCCAATCCTTATTGGGGCGCTTGGTGGACTGTGGTCTCTCCGCGGACCATCTATATGCCTTTGACCAACAGTTTGGATTTGTATAGGCTTTTTATACTTTTTATAAAATCAATTATATTGTAGTGTTGATTTTCTATGAACAACTAGTAATCTGATCTGGATGTTTTATATTCTATATTCAATATCTTTAGCCAACCTCATTTGAAAACAGCGGTCAGTGATATTATATTCCTACATATCAAAATTCATCCTTAGCGATTCATAACCAATTACAGGAAAACATCATTTATCGTTTTCTACCTTCAATCGTTTTAATTAGCGCCTTACTATTGTGAATTTTCCAATAATTAATATTATCTAGCTATTAACTTCTGACAGAACGTATGGAAACAACTTTTATTTCAAAGACATGAAAATTGACCAATTAACAAATAATCGTTATAATCAGTCAGTAATCGTTAAACCTATGTACCTACATAAATTTTAAAAACGTGATTTGCCCGCTGTACATTATTGTTTTTAAGAAAGTAAAAGGCACATTTCTATGATAAAACTACAACAGCTTCTATTTATTTCGTTTTCACACAAATATTTTTGTTGTTGCGGACTTGATAACTGAGGCATTCTCTACCACTCCACTGGCCAGTACATGATAACAGTAAAATAAATTGAGCCTTACTTGCTTCAGGGACGGGGGTGACTGGGCTCTCCGGCAGGAGAATCCCCTTTTGCACTAGCTCATCTCTATTCGCTCGGACGGATATCTTCCTCTCTAATGCTGTAACAACAACACTACATTATTACATACCCTACTACGTACGTTTCGCCAAGTATACTAAAGTAGTATAAATATTATTATCCTAATCTTTTTTTATGCTTATTCGTTGGTAAACCTGTGAATTCGTTGTAAACCACTACATGTGGTGGGGCCAAGGAATAATCTTCATTGTTGCCCAAAGGGGCAGCTGCGTCCGGGAAGTACCACGACCTCACAGAAGACCGGAGTGAAATGGAAGTGTTACACATTTGCGTTTCGTCTTGTGAGTGAGGTAGCCGGCGCCCACTTGATTCAAAGGTGGCATCGCATCTATTTCGTATCGTATTCCGGATGCTGTGTTCTTATATTCATCTTATTATTATAAAATTAAGATATAAATATAAGTGGAGAAAATAAGTAGAAAACTTCTATAATTTCTAAACAATAAAAATTCTGAATTGAACCTTGTATTTATTGTAAACATTAATATCCAAACAATAAAATGAAATGACAATGACAATGAAACTGTGACTCACTTCTAGAAGCTGCTTCAAATTTTTCCGACTTCTTTTTCCGTTTCCACTTCCAGGGCTTAAAGAGTCTACCAAAGGCTGAGAACTTTGACTTTGTTCGCTCCGCAGGAGGGGTGCGTGCACCTGAGCCCAGGCTATTCGTTCGCACCGCCGTACCATTTTGTTTTTTGGCTGCAACCAAAAAATAAAAATATATTGCATGCTAAATTAAATTAATGAGAACACTAATATCGGATATAGCTGACCAATATGTAATTCTATCCATTTTCGAAGAGTTCAGAAGAAAATTCCAAAGAATGATCAGTACATGTTTTCAATAATTGTTCGAGTACAGCGCCCATTACTTTTATCATTGATACAGTTTTGTTCCCCCGTAACTGTTATTTATTAGATCACAGCCTACTTTCATAGGCGTGTTTGTGGAATGTATCTCTACCATTACTCTGCGTACCAAATTTATATCAACGGCCTAAATCTAATTCAGTACAATGAAAGTAAAAGTACAGTTAAATACATTGCGAACCGTTAAAATATGAAAATAACAATAGCGTGACGACAATCGTCACGCTTGTTTCTCCATGGGATAAGCAAATAAAAAAAACATTAAAAATACATTTATATAATTCCAGACCATTTTATACCTTTCTCAGTTAATATTTCGAGGCTTCTCTTCCGTTAGAAGTTTGTATTGCATCAAAACATTAAACTATAAAATCTATAGTTCCATAATTTCCATATTTAAAGTATGTCCACAATTTAAGATTACCATTTCTAGGTTAGAAGAAATAACATTGAAACTAATCAAAAAATCAGAAAGAAGTGTCGAAGATAAACGTCTATGTATGTCCTTTGAAGGACGTAGGCGTAGAACCTGCGCATTGTAGTAATTTTTCCTGTAAGATATCGAAAGGGATTGTTTTCATTCTGGTTTCATGTCACATTGTTGTACAAAGCTCGCTTCTTCGATCCATGAAGGTACAGCACTGTCTACTGTAACTTCAATTAGAATGTTGATGTTGTCTAATTGTTACTGTGCTGTTGATAGCTAAATGACGGTTATAGATTATCCCTACATCATATATATCGAGGAGATATGCAGAACAATGAACATTTAAGAAATTCGAGAATTGCAGTACTCAATGGTGTAAGCCATTACGTTTCCTGAACCTCACACTAAAGGTTCTAAACAAGAGCTAAAATCTTATCACAAAATTTAATTACAATAATTAAAATACATCAACAATCCCTAATTATCCACCATCAATCTGTAATTTGTGTTTCTAATACAATTTTCACAATCAGGTAAATAATAATATGACTTCATTATTAAATTACTACAGCCGTGTTGGCTCATTGTCCGGGCGCTCGCTTTCAATCTTCTATTTATTATCTACATATATAAGAGATTTCCACCCATAATTGCCTAATCACGATATCTCTGAAACCATAAAGCGTAGAGACTTCAAATTTGGTAGGAATATTTCTTTCGCCGAGTAGAGGTCAGCTAATAACGGATATTACGAAATTCCACAAAACAACGTTTGCCGGATCAGCTTGTTTAATATATACTCGAGCAGAGTTCGAACCCCGGTGCCGGCACCAATGAAATTGATAATTTAAAGTGCTGACTTATCACGTGCTCAGCGTTGAAGGAAAATATCGTGAGGAAACCTGCATATTTTCGAAATAATAACAAAAAATATTCGAAGACATGTGAAGTCCGCCAACCCGCATGGTGGGTCGTGTGGTGGACTCTACCCTCTGTACAGAGGCCTTGTTTTTTTTTTAAATCTTAATTCAAATAGATACTTGCGCGATCTTATGAAACTTTGCCCAGAAGTGGAACGTATATAGGCTGTTACTTTCCTTTTTTACGCTACTTAAATTACTCTTACTTATAACAACATGAATAGATTACAATAAAAAGCAACACAACAACCGTAAATAATTATCTACTTTATACATATATCTATTTAAAATTAATATCTACTTTATAAATATATCTTCTAAACAGCGTTAATGGCCCACCTGATTTTTTTTATGTGAAAATATGCCAAACGAGCAGACGGTTCACCTGTTGGTAAGTGAATACCGCCGCCCATGGACATCTGCTACACCCGAGGGTTACAGATGCGTTGACAACCTTTTGAAAATTGGGCTCCGGCTACCTCACTCACCAGACGAAACGCGAAAGTGTTTATCAAAGTTCTACTTTACGCTAGTCTTCTGTGAGGTCGTGGTACTTACCCGGACGGACCTGCCCATTCGTACAACAGCCGAGGCTGATGCATGGCCCTACCACTGTAAACCTGAAGTTGAGATATGTTTTATAGCATATACATTTGCCTCACACCACTTAAAACTGACGGAATGTCTAGCTACAAACCAAATCGCGAATACACAAGTGTTTCACGTCGTCAAGGGTTAACTAACAATCTCAGGAAATATGGATAAAGATGATTTGAATTTTAATCGTTTTATATATTATGTACAAAAAATTTCAGAAAAATCAGGGGTCCTTCATTTCAAGGAAAACCTGTTTGAAGTATTATAGTATCACGTTACCCCCATAATCTTAAAACGATTGCTTGCTCCTCTTACGCGTGTATAATTTAAAATATATCAATTTAAATTAATTCTACGTGAATGAATTATACGACGAACTTATTAAAACAAGTATATTCCTGACTACTTTCCATTCTCGATTATGCGGATGCAAGCTATCTTGATTTAACTGAAGAACAACTAAATAAACTTGAGCATATTCAAAATTTAGCAATTAGGTTCAATTTGGATTACGCAAATATGACCACGTCTCCGAACTTCGTTCAAATCTCAAGTGGTTACCCATTCGATTTCGCCGGAATTTGCACACTGTCTTTCTGCTTTACTGTATATTATTTAACCCTAGGACTCCAATTTATTTAAAGGAGCAATTCAAGTTTCTTGGCCATAACCGGCCAGAAAGAGTTTTGCGATCCGCTGGAGAACTAATCTTAGAACCACACGCGTATAGAACCAAATATTACAAAAACTCCTTTACAGTCAAGGCCATCTGCTTGGGGAATGAACTTCCTCAGCAAATTCGTCGTGCAAAGACGCTAGACAAATTTAAAAATGACGTAAAGAATCATTATCTTTCCCTCTGTAATCCATAGGTAACATTGACAATATACTATTATGACTATTATACTTTCATATATTTATATATGTTTTGTATTTTTATTATAGATTATTTTGTTATTATTAAGTAAGTTTATTAAGCACACCACCTCCCACTATTCATAAGTTTAATTTTCCTTGTCCTAAGGTTGTCTGGAAAAGATCGCTCTTTAGCGATAAGGCCGCCTTATTGTACTGAGCTTTTAAGATTTATTTTTTATCAACTGTATAAAACTTTTTGTGGTGTACAATAAAGTATATATAATAATATATTTATATTTAAGGTTATAATTTCTAAACTAGGCATAACTTTTCTTATATTATTTATGTAAAATCACACAGCAAAATAGAATAGCTGTATTTACGCATATAAATTAAGTTTTCTTCAAAGAAGAAACGCGAATCTTATTCGATTTTAAATTGACATTAAGAAATCAGTAAATTTCCAATTGAAAACGTTTTTTAATTAATTTTGTTTTTGTTCTAGTTATGAACTATGGGTTTATAATACATTAAAAGAACGTTTACAGAAAGGCATAATCCACAGTGTGCAGACGTTTTTGCAAAAGTATCGCTGGCTGCGACTCATCGTCCCGCTAAAGGCAAGCCGAACAAAACGATTTCAAGATGATTGCGGATTCGCCGAGGCAATTGTTCCGGGGATTGTGTCGCTTTTGAGATGATATAAAAATTATTACGAACAAAGTGTTGTTCTTCAAATTGTTTGTTTATCGATTAGGAAAATGGAATTTTGAGATTTTTATTATTTTTATAGTTATACTAATAGTAGTGAAAATTATTATAATAATACTCTATAAGTGTTCTTTATCACATTCAGTAAGTAACTTCTTCATAATTATGACATGAAGAAACTAATTCTTTATTAGTAAACTAGCTGTTGCCCGCGACTACGTCCGCGTGGAATAGGATGAAAGCGAAAAATTCAGACAGACACAGACAGATATCTATACGTATAATAAAAATGTTACTTGTCTTTGTCGGTACACAGAAGATATTAGAGAAAAACTATTATTAAAGATCCTCCTTTATCAACACATTAGAACCCAAAACAATGGTTGTTAAAATTTTTGTCCGTGCGTTTGTGCGTTGGTGCAACTTTCACTTATGCATTGTAGTACTTAATATTTAGTAGTCACTTAACATTTAGTGTTAGTTTTATTCAAATCGGTTCATAAATAAAAATTTTATATCAACTTAAAAAAAAGTAATCGCTATAGCTGAATTGGATGAAACTATAGTTAACTACAATTATATTATGGTCTGTAAAAAGATGATGATTGTTAGATTATATAAATTTAAAAACCAGCCAAATGCGAGTCGCAATCGTGAACGAAGAGTTCCATACCATAATCTATAAAAAAGGCAATAAAATTATGTCCGTTGTATGAGAGCCCCACTTAAAAAAATATTCTGATTTACTTTATTTGTTGTTATAGCGTCAACAGTGAAAATTTCAACTGTCTAAATATCACAGTTTATGAGATGCATGTATTAAACAGATGCTAGCAGTCTAGCTAGCATCAGTTTGTTTGAACTCACTAATCTCAGCTATTACTGGTCCGAATAGAAAAATTTTTGCACTGTTAGATAGCCAATTTATTGAGGAAGGCTACTTTTTAAGCACGATATAAAATGTGGTACATACGGGCCGAACCGCGGGCGAAAAGCTGGTGTACATAATATATCACTTTAAATACCACATTCATAGTTTTGCCTTCTGGGAAACAATTACTATGGGTCACACAAATAATTGTCTAGTGTGAGAATCGAACCCACGCCGAAGGCAATGCCTTGACAACTGCGCAATGGTCAGTGATCTAGAGAGTGGTATTCGCGAATTAACATATAACTAACTCTAATGTGCGAGATAATGAATGGTGTCTATGGCGAAATGGGTATCAGCACTAAGTCGTGTTTGGTTTTCATTAGATTGTTGAGATCAAATCGTTCTCATTCTTTTAAATTCTATCGAGGCATTTTTGTAATAA